TGCGGACCTCTAGGGTGGCCCTCCCCAGTAGCCCCATCCCGGCTCCGCTCGCCGTGTACAGTGCGCGGTCCGGGGCCTGCAGTCGGCTCACATCGACCCCGATCATGCTGCAGTGCGCCGCACTCACGAGTGAGGCTACCGCCCCCGTGTCCAGTAGGATCTGGGTACGCCGTCCATTGACCTGCCCCTCCACCAGCGATGTAGCCCCCATAATTCCCGCCACCAGTTCCCGCAGCCAGTCGCCAGGAGTCGCAGCGCTCTTGGGTGTCGCCGCTGGAATCTGTGTGGAGATCACTCGCTCGCTATTATCATTACCACTTGTTTGGGTCGGGGCTACGTAGATTTCACTCCCCGGTGGTCCCCTCTCTAGGGAGGCCTTAGTGTTTGACCTTAGCTCTTGTCTAGCTCGGGCGATCTGAGGACAGTCCCTCATTCGGTGCCCTCGTTGGTCACATATATGGCATGCAGGGGGAAGGGTGGCGGCTCTGTAGTGGGCTCTCTCCCCACTCCCTCCTCCTCCAGTTCGCCGCTGCTCATACTCTGCTTCTAGCCGGGCTATCCTTCCAGTTAGCCCCCCCACCTCGGACTGGACGGTCTCAAAGGCGGACTGCAGCTTGGTCATACTTCGGCTCGTTTTGTCGTCTACTTGGGTTACCCTCTCACCTACTTGGGTTACCCTTTCACCTACTTGGGTTACCTTATTGTCCATTTGGTTTACCCGGCCGGCAATATCTCCCATGCCGGTCTGTAACCCGGCTACCCACCCTGGGGTTGTCTCGCGGGGTCTCTTGCCCGTCTCCTTATTGGGCTGGCGGGCTCCTCCTCGTCCTCCTCCTCCTCGTCTGGGATCAGGCTCGCCAAGGTGCACTCCTGTCCCGACCCCCGGAGCTGCGCGCCTTCGCTGGAGAGCTCCTCACACTCAAGTGCGCGCTCGACCAGGGTATCGAAGGGGAGGCCTGCACTACCCCTTTTGGGCTGCCACCACGCGGTGCGAGCTAGGTACCTGAGCAGCTTGTCTGCAGCTAGCGCGTCAATGACCTCCTTCGCGAACTCTGGACGGGCGATCCGGGTTAGTGATCGCACGTCCTCGGCGTAGTCTCGGAAGTCCTCGCCGGGTTGGCGTCGGCGCGCTTCTAAGGCCATCTTTGCCCGTATCGCGTTGCGCGTGCCGAAACGCAGGTCTAATCTACGCATTAATTCCTCTAGTTGGGTTTGCGCGCTTTCGGGTAGTGCCTCTACAAAGTCGGCTGCCCGCCCATCCAAGTTCAACGTAAGTTGTCGTAACGCCTGCGCGTCCGACCAGCCATTAAGCTCTTTAGCCCCAATGATATTGCGGGAAAACGCTTTCCATGTAGGGGTCCCTTGGCCGGTGAACACATGCCTTACCTTTGTGTGGAGTAGCGCGCCACCTTCCCGTGAAGATGTGAGGGTTCGTACGACTTCTGACACCATGTTGTTGGGGCAGCTGGCCCCCACGGTCCCTCCTTGCTGCTCGCCGACGGCAGGGGTTCCGTCGTTTGCCGACCCCTCGCTGGTCTGCGACCAGCTACTGCTGTCACTGGGCTCATCGCCCGACGGCTCCCTTCCCTGGTCCGCCCCTCCGCGAGCTCGCGTGAGAGGCATAGCTCGTCGCCCGCTCCCGTTCACCTGTAAACGCTGCATTGTCTCTCCGCCAAGCACATGCTCTGAACGGGGTCAGGGGTCGGAGGGCGAACGACGCTGTCCTCACACCGCGTGAGTCTCTGTGGCGATAGACGGAGTGGGTACCTGCGGACGCACCGACTCTCCCCCACGCTATGAGCGCACACACCTGCACACAGCACCACGCGCTTTCACTCACTCGTAAGACCACTCGAGGCTGCGCTGGGTTATTAATGGTTTATTCTCGGCGACTGCGCTTTACTGAGTCTGTACCCGATCTATCGGAGGGATATGTTCTAGGCGGCTCTGGACTCTCTAGTCTCTTTCCCAATACTCCCTTTCCACTTACTCATGATTAGGTGCCCACAGCGTTCCGCTGATCCCGTCCTCACTGCGTACCTCGATGCGTCTCACGGACATCCGAGTCGCTGGGCTGGAGAGCGTCTCGTGGCCTGCCTCTGGAGCAAGAGAGCCTCCACATCGCTACATCCGCTTTTTATCCTATCTCCCCGTCCCCAGGGCCCCGCCTCCCCAGCCCTCCTCGCTCCCGCGGCCCTTACGCGCGGCGCGCATTCTAAATTAGTCCCATTCTCATGCTCCTCCATACTAATGCTTATGCGCGGCGCGTATTCAAATTAGTCCTATTCTTATGCCCCTCCATAATAATGGGTGGTCTGCCTGACCGCGCCGGTGCACGGCGCCTTTGTCATGCCAATTAGCCGTCTCGCTCCTCCTTTGCCTGCCCCGTCGATACGTGCGTGCGTGGGGTGCGTTTCAACCGTGGTGGCCGAGTGGCCCCTTGCCGTGACCATGCAATCTTAATGCCGGTTACAGCGCCGCGGTGCGAATCAGCATCGGGGGAGGTCGTCCAATTCCCTGGCCGCAGGAAACCGTGAAGAATATCCCGGTAAGGGCTTCTCGGGTGAAAACCCGTTAGCCAGGTGACCTCCCCTCGGAGCTCTATAGGGGGGGGGAAATGCGTGCGGGTGTGTTTATGTGAGGTGAGGTGAGGGGGAAGCGGGGTTGGCTCCGTCACTTGGTGGTGGCGAGGTCGTAGATGGGGCGCCCGCCGAGCGGCTTCGTGGCGGCGGCATCACAATCTCGTAGAACTTACAGGCTAACCTGACCGCATGTGGGCGAAGATAGAAGCGTCGGTTGGACGCCGCACCAATGTGCGTGTTGAAAATATGAACCCCACAATGCATTGTAAGGGGCCTGCGAGTTGTTTGGTTGAAAAAACGGGGATTTTTTCTGTATATTCGTGTTTTCGGCTAACGAGTGAATGTTTGCACATGGGAGGAAATAGAGAAAACCCCTCTACTTGTGTGAGGGGATCCACACGTTACAATACAGAAGGAACCAATGATAGCATGAAAAAAATAAGAATAGGTATGTACCCTATCTGGCAATAAATCAAATAGAAACCTTTTGCAAGGAATCATGTCTGCATTAACCACACGTACTTGTGGTGACCATGCAAACATATTGTACATGCTGATAATGCATGCATTGACTTTGAAACTGATTGGTCTACACCAGAGACAGCCTTCTTTATAACCTCGTCTCACCAGTGTCACACCAGAGAACGCCAAAAGGCGAACAGTACAAAGACAATGCACTATGAGAGCATGTATAGCTTGGGGTGAGTAGATACAAAATGGGACCTTTATGCCAGGATCAGAGGATAGCACTTTGCTTATAGCGCTATCTCCTGGCTAGCCAGGGTATACACTCCTGCTGGACGCCCACGGGAAGGGAGTTTCACAACATATATAAGCCTCGTTACAAAGTGCTTGTCACAAATAAACCACAATACTGTATTCTTTGGGTCTTTCGGTCAAGCCACGTAGATAAAAAAAAATCAAAATAATAACAATATCACGACGTTTCGATCGCAACACAAGCAATCGTCTAGAACGATTGTGTTGCGAGAGATAACAGTAAGCACCTATAAAGGCCCTCCTGCGTGCCACGAGAAATCAGCGACATCGCCACTGCCAACCGGTATCTGAGGTTGATGAGCCTCTGGGCCCTCTGGTGTGTAGAATATTTATAACGAGTTCATAAAGGCTGTGTTCGCCTGGCAAAAGTTTTCAATAAATATAATGAACCTGATGACTTTTTTTGCAATTTGTATCTACGATCAAGATATTAACTAAAATGTGTATTTTCCCACAAAACAAAAATAGTTGACTTGATTCAACTTCTTATATTTAAAGACGTACCTATCGGAAAGAACAAAAATAATGAACTGAAGTCTCTGAGGGGAAGCTTTTGCTATCTTTGACCGCTTTCGAATTATTCTGATTTGATCATAAAAAAAAAATTCGTCCAAAACCCCTGGAGTCCCAAATATCTCAAAAACAATTAAAAGATAGAATGGTTTTCGCTTTCATTTTATTTGCCATCTAACACTATCAAACGGAAAAAAACCCGTAATCTTATATTTTTTACGGTTTCTAATGACACCATGCACATTACAGGGCACTTAAAATCGAGATTTGCGGACCTTAATAAAAAAAATCACCGATTCTCAGATGTATCCTGTTGTATGTGTCCTAAAAGCTGCCTGTGTACCAAATTACAGCTTTCTGCCTCGTTGGGAAGTACCCTAGAGGTTTTTTGAGACATACGGATTAAGGTATTTATTTATACAGAAGATAGCAAGCAGGTATTTAGTTTAACACGTAGGCTGTCGCGACCAACATCATCCATAATATAGGTTGGGGGGGGGGGTTAGATCGCGACACAGCCAACTAGTAAGGATTGTCACGTAAACAGAACGTGGCCAGAGAAGTACAGTAATTTACATCTCTATAGAGTTGCTGAGCACAGGCCCAAAACGCAAAAGCAAAGAGCGGGGCGCGGGGGACGGGGCGGGGCGCGGGGGACGGGGCGGGGCGCGGGGGACGGGGCGGGGCGCGGGGGACGGGGCGGGGCGCGGGGGACGGGGCGGGGCGCGGGGGACGGGGCGGGGCGCGGGGGACGGGGCGGGGCGCGGGGGACGGGGCGGGGCGCGGGGGACGGGGCGGGGCGCGGGGGACGGGGCGGGGCGCGGGGGACGGGGCGGGGCGCGGGGGACGGGGCGGGGCGCGGGGGACGGGGCGGGGCGCGGGGGACGGGGCGGGGCGCGGGGGACGGGGCGGGGCGCGGGGGACGGGGCGGGGCGCGGGGGACGGGGCGGGGCGCGGGGGACGGGGCGGGGCGCGGGGGACGGGGCGGGGCGGGCGGGGCGTGGGGGCGCGGGGGGTGCGGGGGGCGGGGGGCGGGGGGTGCGGGGGGCGGGGGCGGGGGGCGGGGGGTGCGGGGGGCGGGGGGCGGGGGGCACGCGCTGTCGCGTTGCTCGGCGTGCGATGACGGCAGCCAGAGTCGGGGCGGAAGTGAGCAGCCGACCACCACAATCACAACAACCACCACCACTAACTACTACTACAGCTAGAACAGCTACAGCCACAACAACCACCACTAACTACTTCTACAGCTAGACCAGCTACAGCAACCACCACTAACTAATACTACAGCTAGACCAGCTACAGCTACTACAACCACCACCACCACCACTCCAGCGAGACCGACGACAGCAGTCAACAGCAACGAGGAAGAGCCGGTGGCTGTGGCAAACGACGTCGTGGTGGTGGCAGAGATGGTGATGTGGTGAAGCCGGTGGTTGTAGAGGTGGTGGTTGTGGTGGTGGTGAGCGGTGGTGTCGTGGTTAGCGCTACGCTGCGCTACGAACCCTGCGATCCGAGTTCGATTCCCGCTCACGGCCAACACCGTTGACGATTGTCTGAACCGGTCCTGGGCCTCCTCCCCTGGGGTCGACTTGGCCTCAGATGAGTACCTGGTGCGGTGTGTAAACATCGCCGCTGGGGAGACAAAGGCAGCCGGGTGTGGTGCTGGCCACCCACCCCCATCGTGTGCCGTTCCGGCCTTCAGAGGTGCTCGCTCACAGCACTTGCCCCAACAGTCTGTTACAGGCTGTACGGGGGATCATTGGTGGTGGTGGTTGAGTTGGTGCTTGGTGGTTGTGGTTGAGGAGGTTGGTGGTGGTGGTGGTTGTGTTGGTGGTTGTGGTGGTTGTGTTGGTGGTTGTGGTGGTGGTTGAGGTTGGTGGTGGTGGTTGAGGAGGTTGGTGGTGGTTGAGGAGGTTGGTGGTGGTGGTTGAGGAGGTTGGTGGTGGTGGTTGAGGAGGTTGGTGGTGGTGGTTGAGGAGGTTGGTGGTGGTGGTTGAGGAGGTTGGTGGTGGTTGAGGAGGTTGGTGGTGGTGGTTGAGGAGGTTGGTGGTGGTGGTTGAGGAGGTTGGTGGTGGTGGTTGTGTTGGTGGTTGTGGTGGTGGTTGTGTTGGTGGTTGTGGTGGTGGTTGAGGAGGTTGGTGGTGGTGGTTGAGGAGGTTGGTGGTGGTGGTGATGTCCCGCGTGTGTCTCGCTGTGTGCGCCGCCGCCTTCTTGGCGCTCCTCGCGCTGATGGAGGCGCCGCGGGCCGCCGAGCCCGGGAGGCGCCGCGCGGAGCCTCCCTACCCCGGGGCACGAGCCCGCAACCTCGCGTGGGTCCTGCAGGTGCGGCCCGGCCTCGGCCCTCCTTGTCGGCCCCCCCTCGGCCCCACTCCCTCCCGGGCGCCCGCGGCAAGCGGTCGGCAGCGCGGCCCGGCTGGAGCGCATTCGTTGTTGAGATTCGCGGTTTTCAGATAAATACTGCGGTGTGTATTAATAATAAATTAATGCACACCGCAGTATTTATGATGATGATGATACGGAAACGTGCCACCTGCTTCGGAGTGGAGTTAAAGATCCCGTATAGGAATATGTCTGGTCCAACATTTCCCAAATTACAACAATTAAGAAGATTACGTGACGAAACCCATATAAATAAGAATATGCTTTACTCTTTCTGGCAGTAGAACAGGGGGTGTCAAGATGTTCAAACACAAAAATAGATACCTATTTAAAGGAATCAAGTCGGCAATAATCACACATGTGCTTGTGACAAAACATGCTCTGCTAACAATAATATACGGCCGTCTTTAAACAGATTGGCCTCCACCAGAGACGACAGTCTTCTTCATGGCCTCGTCTTCACCACCAGTGTCAGTAGACCAGAGAACAGCGCCAAAGGACGAACAGTCAACGACTCGATTGGGTTTATACAAAGTGTAACATCAACCCGCAGACTGACACCAATCGCGTGCCAGGTACTCTGCCACCTTGTGTTGGCACAGGGACAGCTGAGATGTGAATCCACACGGAGAGGCGCTGGATTGTTACCCGAGGTCGCTCTATCATCAACAACAACAACACACGCGCCCCATCACTCTCCCACTCTCCGTCGTGGTTGCCGCACGTTGTAGTGCAGTGTTCTTCACTCAGAGAGGCGGGGGTGCACTTTCGCCAATAAGACATCATCAGTGTGAGGCCCGGCCCACACCCACCGTCTTCAATGTGTGTGTTGAGCTTCTTTCGCACCATAGTAAGCCAACCGTGCTAATTGGAGATGCGGGGAAGAACAACAAACTAAACGCAAAAAGCAGTTGTAAAGAAATGTTTTTCAATCTGTTCTCAGGTTATGACTACAATTTTAAATCTTGAAGGATGAGTTTAAATGATCCAACAGCAAGAATTGATGGTTGTTATTATGTGAATATATCTGATGATGTGGATGCCTTCATCATTGCCATAATTTCCAGTCATCGACAATTCTACCGCAACCACAAAGTACATGTTAACTGGCCGTCACTGCACCGTACCTCTCATGCAGAGTTTACCACCGCATGCACCGTTATCCGTATTTATCTGCCCCTATAATGACTCGTGTCTTAGAGGTCAGGATCTGATGATTATCATCTGAATTGTATGGTCAGGGTGTTAGGGTCACAGGGTTTTATGATTAGTGTCGAGGCTACGGTCAGGGTTGTAGAGCTACGGTTAAGCCTCTAATAATGTGTGCCAATACATCTGCATCCTTTTCTCCCCTGGTTGCAAAGATCTCGGATATTCACATCAGCCGTTTCCAAGATCCCACACGTGCCTCTGATCTGGAGCGCTTTTGCACCGAAGACTTGGACATCCTGAAGCCAGCGCTGGTTATTGTTACCGGTGAGTGTGTATGGAGAGAGGTAGTGTAGTAGCGATTAGTCTGCTGCACTATGAACCCGTGACCCGAGTTCGATACCCGCTCAACATCAATGACGATTATCTACAGCGGTCCTGGGCCTCACCTAGGTCGACTCGCCAATGGGGAGACATGCGGCCCGGGCTTGGTGTTGACCACCCACCAACCTCGTGTGTTGTGCCGGCCTTCATAGGTGCTTTCTAACAGGACTTGCCCCAACAGTCTGTTCAGGCTATATGGGGGATCTTTGTCTTTATAGTGGAACTAGCTGTACTACCCGGCTTCGCCCGGGACTTGTATCTACCACGGCCGGCCGCCTTTGTCTCCCCAGTGGCGATGTTAATACGCTACAGCAGTTACTCGTTTGAGGCAGAGTCGACCTAGGGGAGGTTCAAATAATCGTCACCGGTGGTGGCCGTGAGCGGGAATCGAACTGGGTTCGCCGGGTTGGTAGCGCAGCGTAGCGTTAAGCACTACACCCACCGCTCCTCACACACCACACACGCACAGACACACACACAGACACACGCAGACACACACAGACAGAGACACACAGACACACAGACAGCACGCTAACCACTACACTACCGCTCCCCACACACCACACACGCACACACACAGACACACACACAGACACACACACAGACACACACACAGACACACACACACACACACAGACACACACACACAGACACAGGCAGCACGCTAAGCACTACACTACCGTTCCCCCTACACAACACACGCGCGCGCGTCCATAGGTACACATACACGCGCTTGCTGCAGACACACACGACTTTCAGGGTGCGTACGGCAGTAAACGACTGAAATAATAAAGCGGGAATGCTGTGTAAGGAACGCCTTAGACCCGCATTACACATTTGTGTAATGCGAGCGTAAACACACAAACACACACAAACACATACACAATACACACACACATACATGCAGACACACAGACAGACACATAATACACATACATACACACACATACAAACACAGAAACACATACACACACATACATAGACACACACATACATACACACAAACACATCCACAGACGTACATACACACATACATACAGGCACGCAGACATACACATAAACACATACAAAAAAACCCACATACATACACACACACATACATACACACAAACACATGCACACTGTTGTATATGTTGGGTTAAGAAAATTTGTTATGTTGTATGCGTGCGTGGGTGAAATTATTATGTTGTATATGTGGGTTATGAATATTCAGTGAAAATAATAATAATTAAATGAAATTTGGCCAAATGTGTAATTATCCGGAAATATGTTAATTTATGTAATTACGCACATTTTAATTATGCCAATTCGAGAGGTAATCGTATTAATTATGCGAGTGGGTGTAATTATGATAATGCAAGTCGTTATGATAACCAGACCCCGCCTCGGTGACGAGGGTGGGTTATCGATCGGAATAAGGCAATTAATCGTATGCAGTTATGCAGGTGTGGTGTAAGTATGCAAGATTAACTTAGATTAACTCGGCATCGTTGTCTAGGTTCGTCTCATTCTCGCTTTAACATTCCCAGAGTTTTTATTCGTGGTTATATTTTTAGGTCCCCGGTTCACCCCGTTATCGCTTTAACATTTACTGAGTATGTGTTAGTGTGTTTATTAAGGTCACCAAGTTCAAATCTCAACGCAGAAGCAGATCTTATGCATAGATTTCAGGAAAGAATCACACAACCACTTCTGTATTAATCAATTTATTACTAATTCAACCTTAACTATGATATAATATGCGAACTCTCAATCCCGGAACGTCAACACGGCATCAATACAGTATCATCAACGATTGTCTGATTTCACTTTGACAACTGCACATGGATCCCGCATAACGCGATGGTTGTTAGTGAGAGAGAGAGTCGTTAAAACACGCAAATACTATGCTAAGAAAACCTTAATGTTAATGAATGATTATACTCAATACTGTTCATAACGCGATGGTTGTTAGTGAGAGAGAGAGTCGTTGAAATATGCAAATACTATGCTAAGAAAACCTTAATGTTAATGAATGATTATACTCAATATTGTTCATAACGCGATGGTTGTTAGTGAGAGAGAGAGTCGTTGAAATATGCAAATACTATGCTAAGAAAACCTTAACGCTAATGAATGATTATACTCAATATTGTTCACGCAGTACCACACTCCTTATTGACCATACGCAACCCTTATCACGTTGTTAACACCTTGGGTCACGGGACAGTTGAATATTCTGTAGAGGATGCGAGTACGTGCGGCGATTATGACTGAAAGATACTTGAAAGATTATACGGCGATAAAAAAAACACAATCAAAAACAGTTATTATTCTTAAAGGCACCAATCTCAACAGATACATCGGCAGGTTATCTGACAACAGAACGGCTCGGAGTAAGGGCCTGCGACGGTGCTCCTTTTCCGAAGCTCGTTATCTTATACCAAGTTTACTAATTGGGGACCAGATCACCTGATAAGGATCCGGTGGGCCACCACTCCCCACGTGAGCGTGGCTCGGCGGAAGGAGGTGCCAAGAATCAGTTCGTATTGATGGATCTGTTGGGAATTTATGCGATTAAGAGTACAGCCCACTAAATATTAAAGATAAAAATTAAGAATACTCTTATAAACGACGGAGGGCCATCACTCGGTCTCGTTGCGATGCTTTCCAGCCACGGATGGCTTATGGGTTCGAGTGTTTTTGAGTGGTAAGAGTTGTCTTGAATAGTCAGTGTTCGGAGTCGATTCTTTAGGTCAAACAGACGCCTGGTGGTCGTGTGGTGAGGGGGCAGGTGCGCGTCATACGTATCAGTCGATCCCCTGTCACCGTGGCGAACTGGTTCGGAACCCGGTCGGTAGGTGGCGCCCACAACTCGCTCGTAGCGTGCAGCTCTGGGTTGTCGCCGAACCGCGATGCTCACCACTCCGGTGGCAGCAGAGACCCCCGATTCGGCAGAGGTTGACGAGCTGAAGATGAGTCGAGCCGACCCGCTGGTCGCAGCTCGCTCCTGAGTCGACCCTCCCGGTCGAGCTCGCTCCTGGGTCGACCCGCTGGTCGCCCTCGCTCCTGAGTCGACCCTCTGGTCGCACTCCTGAGTGGACCCGCTGGTCGCACTCCTGAGTGGACCCACTCTGGTCGCACTCGTTCCTGAGTCGACCCTCCCGTCGCACTGATTTCCAATGCTCAGGATCCTTTACTTTATGCCGAAAAATCCCCCTGGATCCCGCCCACAAGGCGGGACTTCTTTCGATTTTTGCTGTGTCAGGATCTGTCCGTAGGCAGGTGTGTCCATGTGTGTGTCCGTACGTCCGTATGTCCTTGTGTGCATCACTGACGGTATATTCCGTTGTCACACTCCCTCCATAAACCCACGAGCAAACAATCAGATGTTACAAATTGCCTCGAGGTCGTCTCTCTGTCTGGGCGCAACATTATCTCCTGTCTGGCCTTCCCCATGAACCCAAAACACAGACGTCACAAATGTCTCATAGGCGTCTTTGTTCGCACCACCTGGAGGGAGGGGCAACGCTCTCTCCGACCCGGCGCACAAAGAAATGGCCAAAAGTTTTAAGTTAACATTTGTCCCTTACTATTTCACAGCCATGATTCCGCATGTAACCCAAGGTCTGTCGTTTCCCATCGTGGTGCCCGACCCAAGTGGAGGCGTCTCCCCGAGCGTACACACACTCCCCTCCCGCGCTGCGGGGATACAAAGACGGCCGGGATCTCCCTTTCTCTCCGACCCTGGGTTTAACATCGTTTTTTTATTATGTATTTATATTCGACCTGGTGGTGATTCATCCCGTTATCCTGGCTTTTCCATAAGTTTTACTTTTGTCTTTTCATGCATATGCTTCGGGTCGAGTTGTATAGAAAGCATTAAAGTATGGAAATAACATTTCATATTGACTTAATGATGGTGATGGTTCAGTAGGCGTACTTGTGACCTGGTTTAATTGGAGTGGGTGTGAATATCAATAACTTTAGCCTACCCTGTTGTTAAATTCCGACTTTAACGTTACTTTAATAGCAATACAGAATAATTGAGCTTTTTGTCTTAACTAGGCGAACGCGAACTTCTGGTGACCCCCGCAGCCGTGTTATTTAGCTGGGTCTGCCCGCCTTGAGAGATATACAACACTTTTTTTAAATCAGCTCTCCCTGTCCCTCCAACCTTCTGCTCTGGGAATGTTATTCTTAATTTCAGGTCCAAGGCCTCTTTGGGTTTATCTTTGTTTCCTCAGCTGCAGGAGAACAAGGCGTGCTTCTACCTCCCTTTCTGTGTGCACGTGTTCTAATTAGCTCGGAATCCCTAACACACAATCAGTGATGATTCCTGGCTTCCTGTGGTTATGACTTAGACAAAGGCGCCTCTGCCTCCTTTCACTGCCTTTGCCTTGAAGCAAGGTTGCAATTCTGTCATCCTAGCCCTCCTCTCGTTCATTACTTAACAACACCTGGTGTTTTGCAGTTTGGTGCGCTTTGGTGTGTTTCACTCATTAAAAAAACAAGTAAAAAGATAATATATAAAAATCATCAAATATTATTAATCTCAATTATGGAAGAAGGGTTAGGATACAACATTCCGCCCTTTTAAAAATGACCAGTGGTCAAATGGCCACGGGTTATTTTTAAAAAAAATGTATACCCTTCTTCCATCATGAACCATCGATTGTCCTCAAGTTTTGCTGCTATTCCTTACAACGCGCGCGTACGTGTCACAACTTAACAGGTTATATGTGACAAGAGAGAGGAAAAAAGAAAAGAAAAAAATTCTAAAGGAAGGTAAAACGATAAGGGAGGGAAAATTATTCTATTGACTACATGTTATAGGAGATATCGTTAAAAAGATAGTTTATACGGTTACTCTTGGGTGGCATCATCAGGCCTTGGCTCTATCCCTGTTCCTGGGCTCGAATGGTAGGTGGCTTGTGCCTGCGATTAGTCTTTTAAGTTCGGCA